GTAAATAGTTTTATATATTTATTTATTTATATTTAGAGTCATTTCCTTCGGTCAAGAATTGTATGATGGTTAGAAATTGGATTTTCTTCCACAAGATCATGGGTTTTCTTCATCGTCATAATTTTATATGGACACTGCTTCTCTCCTTATCTGAAAAGAGACATTCCATTATTAAGCCATTACAAGTACATATAAGGCATCTTAAGAGCCAACTAAGCAAATATAAGAGCCACATGAATCTCAACAAAGTGTTCAATAGGACTTACCTATTGGTTGAGACACTTTGAGCTTAGTTCTGCTTACTCATAAAATGTACCGTGACACTTTGAATCATCATACCCAGAACTCCAATACCAAAACACATAACAAATTAATGTGCCAATTCCATTGTTGGGAGATCATTTATATGGAATTTTGAAACTAACTCATACATATTATATTAAAATGAAGTTGTGGAGTAACACAAATGAACTACAAACAAGTTCTTCTAAGTAAACAATAAAATTGCCTAATAAACATATTTACACCAAAGAAAGTTATTACATGTATTAAAGAAAAGGCATAATAGCAATTTAAATCACTTTAAAACAATTATTCCAACTTACGGTTTAATTTGTTTTGAAAAATAAGATTGCCAAGTGCTATCATAATGGAAAACATGTTCTATATCCCTCTTGTAACAAACATCACTAGCATGATATTTTTTTAGGGAGATTCACTATTATACTAAATATAAGAGTCAAAATTATTTTAAACAAACCCCCTATATGAAATGGACTTTAGAAAGACATCCAAAGCTCATTTACAACATAACAAAAAGGCTTTGAACTTCTTTTAAATTACAAAACTGTAATTGATTTCTTAAAACAAACCCAACCCTAAAACCTCATAAAAAATTCCAAAACACTCAATAGGGCATCAAAGTAATTTAATAACCAAAATTAAATTCAATAGGGCCAGCTGTCATTTTTTGGGTTTGTTTATAGAAATTAAACGGTGTAGAATTTATCTATATTATTAGTGCTAAGAATAGGTATATGACTAAATATCTTTTTATTTATTATTATTTCTCAATTCAATTGGGAGTGTCTTCAACATGAGAGTTTTTCTGTCAACCAGGCATATGCATTCATTTGTTCCTCTTCACTAAGATCCGTATTGCATGTAAGTCAGCATATACCTATGTAATGTTGGATCAAGGTTATTTGTATAGAGCTAGCGATTTTTTCCCCTTTCTCTCTCTAATCAGAAGATATTTTTTTCTCCCAACCCTAGGCCCCTTTCTTCAGCGCCGCTCAGGGGGAGGAAGTGGTCACTGACCCTCCTCCCCTCTCCCCCCCCT